GGGACAGCCCACTGTGTAACTGAACTGCAGAGTTTTCCATGCATTCAATGATCATCATCCACCACTGTGTATTACAGTGCAAAGTATAGAAGAGGATAAATAGCTAGAGAACTGAAATGGAATACGTGGACCTAAAAGAATTCAATTCCAGGAGCAGAGACTAATAAGGGAGACAGAAAGGACTCGATTAAAAGAGCAATAAATCGTGGCCAGTGGCACCATCGTTTCTCCACTTCGCTAAATTGTACCATCCAGTCCTTGCCACCTCTCCTCCAGCATCCCGCGTCCCTCCCACCTCTCACATCCCACCACCACCCACTTCCATTTCGGAATCCTGATACGCTATCTGCCGGTGATGGATGGAGCATGGCTTCCGACAGAGCCTACTACTCTTCATTACGTTTTTATAAACCAGAAAAAAAAATATGCTTGATAAACCATCGTAAGAAATTAGGATATTTGTCAATGAAAAAACAACCCATACTTAACTGGAATTGAGTTCAGCGCTTTTAAAGGAAGTCATGGTCAACGGTTGTGCAGGGAAATGATTTGACCGAGATCACGCTTAACTACCAGGTTTTTCCCTACTAATTATATAATGAAGTATACCAACTTTAAAGAGATTGTGTGTGTCATAGGAGAGTCTCCCAACTCTAGGGTCGATCCACGGACATCGATACATAATAAATAATTTAACTGCCATCAGCCGATCTTGAACCTGGTCGGACCTTATGGGATCTTAAGCTTAGGGAGTCAACGCCCTCCCAAGTGAAATTAAATGCAAGAAATAATCTATTTTTTATTTATATTCTGAAATACATAATAAAATGAAAATTTCTAAGCAATTTTCAGGCTTCACTCAATTTTTCGGCCTTAGCGTAAATAAAGCTTATTAATAAAATAAGGTAATTAGAAATATATTGAATAAAATATAATTAAAATATAAAGTGAAGTACAATGTTCCTCATATGTCCAATGACGTAAATAAGGATGATCAAACACAAATACAAACGTTGTTTATGCGTCTTTTAATACTTTTTCTCTTCGGAATAAATGCTAAAAACTATTTAATCTGCTTATATTTATTTTTATACTGATATGGAATTTTTAATTTGTGCATTATAGTTATTCTTAGTGGACTTTGTTCCAGAATAAAGTTTATTTTTCTATGTATCTATATATATATATATATATCCAAAGTCATGAGTGTTTGTGGCTTTAGTACCCTCTACCCGGGACTGGTAATGCCGGCGACGCGGCTGAGAGAGAAGCGCTGGGATCTCTTTGTCTCGCTTTGTCTTTCACACGTGGGAGAAAGGTCTGGACTCGAAGATATCCTGCCTGATTGTAAATATTGTGATTAAGTATGAATGTTTTTATTTTTATTTCATTTAATTATAATTTATTTAATTTGCTACGAATTATTGTAATTTATTAAATTTTAACTCTAAGCTACATTTTCTTGTTTTATAATATATTTTTCCTTTGTTATATAAATGTATTTTTTTTTATTGTATTATATATATGGTATGAATGGGCCTCACTCAGCTTTAGTACTCAGTGCCCTTTTATTATTTCTCGATAAAAAGATGTATAAAAAAAAATCTATACATCCATTTATTTAGCCACGTAAGATTTTCATTCTCGTAACACCACTCACTAAAACTATGTTTATTTTTTACTAAAACATTTCTAGTATAATGGCTTACGGATTTCGCTCACATTTCCCATATTGGATTTAAATACATCACTGCACATGTTATTATTTTCCTTAAATTATACTATTATTTTTGTAGTAAGGGTAATTGCTTTAAAAAAGCCATAATTTCATAATTACTAAATGCCATAATTATCTCTTGTCTAAGGCCGCCAGTGGCGTTACTGTATACAATGATAGGAAACGTCAAAATAAATATAGAAATAAAATAATAATTGGACATTATATTCCAAGTATGATGTACTTTTATCACTGGATAAGTAAAAAAAAAAAATACCGTTCAAAAGAATTTAGAGAACAGACCTTCATGAATCAAAATGGAAAAGAGGGGGAAAAAAATGACAAAGTATTCATATTTAAGAGGTACTAAGAATAACGTAAGGTAATGCCAAACATATGGAAAGGTTCTTTGGTCTTAAAGTTAAAAATAATAAGGTACCAACTTCGTATTGTCGTAGAAAATTAAAATAAAACCACCCCAGTTCCGATTATCAGAGATAATCGTTCCCGAAAATGAATTTTATGAATAGTTTTCCAGGGCCGAGGAATTTAGAATTCCCTCCGGCACCGGAACGTGAACTCTTTTAATCTCTGATATATAACTTTGGTTATCTGGTTGCCGGGCAACTCGTGGTACTGTGCACACGCGTTAGCCCAATCGACCACCCCGCCTCTCGTATTATGGACTATATGGATATCGATATTATTGAGGCGAATATGCAACAAATATTTATGCATAATAAAAAAATGGTAATAATATTAATAAACTCCTCCCAAAGGAAGAAATTTATAATTTAAAATTGCCATATTTTAATTTTAATTAAATGAGAAATTGATCAATTTAACAGACGTTTCGGCGCTAACGTGTGGGTCATTCTAAGGAGTATCTTTTGGAGTTCGAGACAAATACTTTTAGTTCTCGGCTCGACTCCCAAAAGATAGCCATCAGGAACATCGGCTAACCTAATTAAAATTCTTGACTGAATTTTGTTTCATCTTAATAATTGATCAATGGACTAATTATCCATCTCTAATACCAAGTTAACGTAAGGCGTTATAGATGGTAATCTAGAGATCACGTTTATTTTATTTAATAAATTTTGATATTAAAGTCTCATTTAAAAACCTGGCCCATGTTGAGGGATTTGACGTTGTGTGCAGTATCCTTAATAAGGAAGCTTCGCTAAACAATTCCAACAAGGGGAAAATAGTTTAAGTGACTTTGGGTTCCAACAGTTCTGAAATTAACGAGAAAACTTTGAGAGCACTATGTGACAGACTGGTCTCAGTTGGACGTCAACTATAAACTATCCTAGTGCAGCCATTGAAGTTGTGAAACATTGACGGGGTATAAATAGCAGAGAGCGTCGTAAAATATAAATAGCAAAAAAAAAGTAAACATTGGTGGTTGAGTTATCCAAATATATACTGTAGTAGTATTTATGTCGAAACGACATTCTTTGGTAGAGATGGAATTTAATCTCCTACTACGGTTTGAGCTTATATTATTTTAATTTACTATTTTAATGTATTTAATTGTATTATTTTAATGTCCTTCAAAGGACCGTTTAGAAGGCGGGAGCTTCAAGTAAGTCATTTTTAAAGAAAATATGGCGATTTTAATGACCCATAAAATTTTATTGCAATCTATCTAGTGTGGCATACTCCCCTATAAGTCTACAGCGAGAGTATTTCCGACGTCTACGGTTAAAACCTTTCTTCAAATCAGAAATGTTTTTCTTTCTCAAATCCCAAACTAATAGGCATCGATTCCTATTCCTCCCCCCAAATTTTTAAATTGTCTTATTCGGCTCCACCAATATTTTGAATGGTCCCGTAAGAGCATAAAATAACTTAAAAGCTTACTGTTATTACTGTAAGGCCATAGTAATAATTTGTCTATAGTCATTTCTCCCATCTGGACATACGCCTCTCAGATTTACGGCTCGACTAAAAAGACGCACTTATAAAAACTACAGTAATTTCACCAGCTTGCACCTCCAACAGCTTGCACAGGTGACTCAAGCCATGTATCCACAAAATGGCCGCTAAACAGCTGACTGCAGGCTCTTTGTCCATCCTTCTGTGAAGACATGGCCACAGCTGACGTACCTCAGAACATGAGCAGGAGACTAAAAAGACGTTGGATGAGGGATCTCCTTCCTTAAGCAACCTAAGTAATTGGAACAAGTTAGGGAAGAGGTACTACTGAATACTTTCCTTCTCCATGCCTGTCATGTCATTATTTACTGTATCGTCATCACATTTGCTGATTGTCAACAATTTTTTGACAGGCGCAAATATATTTGTTATAGACAAAAAAAAAAAAAAATTTCAATCCAAAATTTTACAACTAATAACAGGAGCTTCTGGTTCGTCAACAACAAAACTTTACATAACGACTTATGACAACCAACTACAAACCAACGCATACGTACTCTGTACTCTCGTTTTCATCTCAAACTACACGGACACACAAACAGACTTGTGAATGACATGGCCACGAATGACATGCCCATCAGGAGGAGACTAAAAAAGAGCTGGATAAGAGATCTCCTCACCTAACTCAAGGATGGAAATAATGATCAGGAAGAGATGCTGCTGATTACTATCGTTCCTCATGCCTATAATGTAATCCTGATTTTATCAAACACATCTGCTGATTTTAAATACCATGACAGGTGCGGAAACATACTTAAAGAGGAAAAAAATATAAAAGTAAAATTGATGTTTTCAGAACATAAGCTTTTATGATTTAAGCATACATATCGTCGGAACCATGTTAAAGTGATGAATATTAACCTGTCCAACGTTAAACTTTCGTTAATTTAATGTGGTGCCGACGATATAAAACCAGATCTTACAACTAGACGTTTAAATAAAAAAAATAAAAGAAAATTTGACGTTTTCAGAATATAAGCTTTACTGTTTGCCTGCTCTCAATCATAGAGAAACAAATCAATTAAAATACTTGAATCAAGCTCATCCACGTCCGTTTTAGAGAGCATCCGGAATTTAGAAGATCTTAATACCATAGACTTATTTACAATTTGATTGAATATATAAAAAAAGTCCACTATAGAGAAATGTTAGAAGAGTTTGTATATTATGTTACGGTCCCCGTGTCTTACAAAAATGAGAAGGAAGGACGCTCTTGGGTCAAACGAAACTTAAATAAACAGTTAGGCACAGATATTTACTTAGGAAACATATACATCAAACGATAAAAGCAGCATTACACTTAAAGATAAGCCATCAAGAGCAATAGATCTATCTAAATGCCTCAGGATGATCTCTTCACTATCGCCACAGGAAGCGGTACCCTCCCGAACATGGAAGTCACGAAGGCCATCAAGACTCCTGATCCTGGATTGGATAGGCTTTGGTCTGTTCCGGAGCGGGCGTGCTTGAAAACTATTCGTGACCTAACCAATCTACACTTCTCCTTTAATTCCTATTGAGCATCAATGGCTATTAAATCCACGGATGTTCTCAATTTGGTCTAAGGATTATAATGCTACTGACACTTCTAATTCATTTACTTAATTACTTTATGAAACAACACTGATTACTATTATACAGCTCATTAATATATATTAACACCTTCTTGAGGTGAGCCTGAAACATTGGAATATCTAAGAAAATACATTTGTGCGTGCTTAAGCGAAAATAGAATAGAAAGATCATTATTATTCTGAAATAACAAAAATAAGAATTTTTTTTTTCCTACCCCAGGAATTTCTTTATTACAAAATACAATATATAAATGAAGAATAAGAATAACAATATTTTTCATACAAATAATCAATAAATCTGGCCAAGAAATCTATTACTAAAGCATAAATAATAAGACAAGTCTATACATAGTTCTGGAGATCTGTTAACGAAACCAGAGGAGCATTAAGGTCACAATACCGCAAGATAGCTCTTAAAAATAATAATATTAAAATAAATAAATGATATCAGACAGGAACGTTAAATAAATTGTATAGGCAAACCATTGCCATATAAATACTGGGTGAAACTGATATGGGACCATCCTTGAGAATTTTATGAAAATCGTATAAATAGTATTAGGTGATATACCCATTACATCGATTTGACTACGAAAAGACAGACAGATAGACACCAAACCAAATTTTTTAACCTCCCGAACAAATGCAAAACTTCTCATCTTAAGAAGCAAAAATAGTAAGCGTCATAATTATGGCCTAAAACTTACATTGTGGCCTCACTGTATGTGAATATATATTCAGGTAGGTAATGTTATAATTAAAAAACAATTGACAATAGCTCCTTACCCCGATAGTGACCCCGCCAATCGCCAGCTTTAAAATCCATCAATAATTTCAGTTAAAATAATAATAATAAAAGGATTAGCGAAGCCGAAGGTTCAATACCAACACCACCACTACTCACAATCTACTCACCTCCCTCCCTCTGCCAGTCGCCGTTATGAAAAAAACCCGCCAGATCAGTCTTCACGCAATCTTCCTACCTTCGTTTCAGTCAACCCCTCGGACGTTTACAAGTCGACATAGCGAATAACATTTTAAGGGATTCTTTTTTTCATTAAGCCTAACAATTTTATCATCGCAATTATATTACCCGGATACAGTTCTCACCATTCGGCATTGTATATCCGTCTGAATTGTTGGTTTGACTCATCCTTCGGTACGAATATTCTACGCAATATTTTATTTTCAAGAACCTTACGACGTTGCTCAAACCTTTATGTAAGCGACCGCGTTTCACATTTATGAACATAGTGCTTTTGTCAATTCTAACATTTATGTTTTGGGATAGAAGGAGAGAGTCAAGTAGTTGTATCATAGAAAAATAACAAGCATTTTCCGCCTTCAACTTAACCCTAATTTCCTCTTTAATTTATTTTTTGCTATTTACAGTTATCTCCCAATACAGAAACTTTTCTACATGTTCAAACATACTCTTTATATAAATATCACCGAAATCGTCGGTTTTGCAACGCACCATATATTTTGTCTAATCAGTATTTATTTCGATCTCCAGTTCATAATCGGCTTTCAATAATGTTTTATAGTTTCCACGTCTTCGCTTAACAGGACCAAATCATGGTAAATAATTTTAGTTAGTATTAATCAATTGAAGATCAAGTCAACCGCATGTTCAACCTTCAACCGTATGTTCCACCTTCAATGAGCGGTACTACTAAAAGTTTTATCGTATGCTAAAAAAAACATAAAAAGTCATTGATAAATCCCGTCAGAGAGTTTTGGAAAACAGATTACGACGAAACGAGGCAACTTTTCCAGAGTTTGGAGAAGTTTAGGCTGGAAGAGAGGAAGTTCCACAGCCTCATAATTCATCGACTAACAACGCATGAGATTGCCTTTGAGGTGTGTAGCCCCTCTCAAAACCCCTCCCCTTCCCCCACAGTCCTTAGTTCTCAGTCCTAAAGCTGGGGCTTTGGGAAACAATGGCCAACTGTGTTAGAGGGTTAGTCGCTTCTAATTCGACATTTCGAAACTTTGACCCAGGGTTAACTCAATCTAATCCTTTCATTTTGTAATTTGTCAATTTTCGTAAAATACATCTCTATAATATTGTAACCACCCGATGGACGTTGATAACAGATTTTATGCAACTCCTCGGTGGATTACCAAGGTCAATTATTATAAATATTTATATAATGATAATAAAGTGTTTAAAGAAAAAAATAATAAAACTTAAACTCCGCCCTTTTCCATATTTGGCGCCTTCTCAAATAAAGCTTTTGCAATAATTTACTTGTATCAAGAAGGTTATAATTGAAAAATTTCCAACCACGCAGCAATATTATGACTAGAGACCGGATTTTCATGTTGTTGCACGCTTCTTTCGCTTAGGGGTAGGAAACTTTAAACCCGAATATCTATCCGTTTCACGATCAGGTTAAGAATAAAAAAAAAAATTACAAATTTTTACATACTTGTTCATTATTTTCTAATAGTTATACATCAAAAGTGATACCACATCCCTTGTAACATAAAGGAAAATAAATAAAAGGTATAATATTGGCTTAAATATTTCTTTTTCTTTTTTTTTTATCATTAGTAATTTGCTATGGAAAATAGACAACAATGCTTGAGTTGATGTAAAACTATAAGAAAAAACAAAAACAAAGGAGCTTTGCAAGACATATTTAAAATACTATATCTTTAAACTGAATTGTCCGATTTATTTTTTAATTTGTTGTTAAATTCGACTTTAAACTTTTAAATAACCATATACAATAAAAAAAGTGAACACTTTGTGAGTTATTCGGAAATCCATTTTTTCAACTTTTTTTTCGTTGAAGTGTGATATATAGATAAATTTAAAAGGTTCCGAAGATGAAAACATTAGCCAAATTTGATTAATATCGGTGCATCCGTTCAGGACGTACAGTCTGTACAACAAAGGTCTTTCGGCCGCCATCTCGAAACGGCCTGACTTTTCGATGATGTATGTTCTATACACATATTTAAAGGGAATCGTTAATGTTTTAATTAGATGATACAGAAATGTTTCATTTATTCTTTATTTATAATTAGTTCTAAAGAGACATTAGTCCGAGGATAATAAAATTATTATCATTTGATTAAATTTCTGTCTCTTGGTCAGTATTTTTTTTTTTTTTTTTTTTTTTTTTTTTACAGATTTATATTAATGTATAAAGAAGGTTTTATTGATCAACCTGATAATGATTTTTTTTCTTTCAAAAATAGAAAAAACGGTGACTAAAGTTATAGAAAAAAACATTTTGTAATAACCAAAAACTAAAACATATAATTCTAAAAAGTGTAACTGCTCAAGTGGGATTGTAGTAAATAACAAAACAAAAAACAGCTGAGCAAAGTAACGGATGAAAAATTAGCATGTACGACTACATGTATCTAAAGTTTCATTAAAAGCGTCTAAATATCAAAGAGAAACTAGATGATCATTAGGTGTGATAATGACAAAATATAGTGATTTTCAAGTATTTTTTTTTTTATACTTAATTGGAAGGCAGTGGATCAGCTGATGAGAAGGTTGTCTCCTCAACTCCTCTCTCAGTTTTTACCAATTTTATAGCGGAATCTCTCTGATTATTCACGTGATACAGTTAAAGTGTATATCAGAGCAGTTGATATTTACTGTTGGCATCTTTTTTTTTTCTTAAAATAACAAAAAAAAAAAAAAAAATTTTGTTTTCTTTTTTTTTATTTATTTATTTATTTTTCTCTTATGATATGCGGTATGATCAGCAAGTGATGGCCAGTAAGGTGCCCAAGAGGTCTCGGTCAGACGGAGTTAGCTCACCAGCCAAACAAAGGACTCGTCGCTGCCTACGAGAAATACCTCCAGTGACCAAAATGAACACTTCAGAACCAGAACCTCAGCCCCAACCAGGTACGTCTGCACAAGAAACGATTGAAGAATCACCTTTCTTTACTCCAAACCCCTACCAAGTGCTTCAAAATGACAAAGAAGTAATGGAGTCTGCAGCAATACCCAGAGAACCAAAGCCTCCTCCGATATTTGTGAAAAATATAAAAAATTTCCAGATGTTCTGCACCCAACTAAATAAAATCTGCTCTGGCAGTTATTCATGCCTTAACAGGACCAATGACACCAAGATAACACCTGATTCTGCAGAAGCCTACCGAAAAATAGTGAAGTACTTATCAGAAACAAATGCGAATTTTCACACTTACCAGCTGAGGCAGGAAAGAGCTTTACGAGTGGTGATAAGAAATTTACATTCCTCAACCCCCACTGAAGTTATTAAAGAAGAACTAACGACGCTTGGTTTCAATGTACGCCAGGTAACAAACGTTTTGAAGGAGGACAGGGAGCAGCCAGGATTACGAAATAGGATCCCACTACCATTGTTTTTCGTGGACTTGGAGCCATCACCAGGTATCGAAAAAATATATGATATCACAAGAATATACTATACAATGGTGAAAGTTGAGAAGCCATATCCCAAGAGAGACATCGTGCAGTGCCATAATTGTCAGACCTATGGCCACACGAAGACATATTGCCACCATCTGCCGCGTTGCGTGAAGTGCGGTGAACAGCACAAATCTGTAGAGTGCACCAAACCTATACAAGATCCAGCAGTATGTGCCCTATGCTTGGAGGGACACCCGGCCAACTACAAAGGCTGCCAAATTTACAAGAATCTCAAAACCAGACACCAGAAAAACCGGATTCAAGATGAAGCACTAAGAACAAGAAGAGAGAGAGAGCCTTCCAGAATTGTAAACAATGATGTATCATTCTCCCAACTACTTAGAGGTAAGACTTTAACCGATAAATGTCAAGCCCTGCCACAACAACAACCTCAAACCCAACCTCAAAATCCTCTTCATCCTAATATACCTAACCACCAACAACAAATTCCTCATATTCCTCCTCCTTCAAATGCAACACATCTCACAAGTTTGTTAGCATCTTTCCTCACCGATTTCAAATCCCTTGTTACTCCACTCATATCACTCCTCACGAATCTCGTATCTCACCTCATCCTTCCTTTGAAAACTCCTTAAATGACTCACATCCCTAAACCCATATCCATTCTCCTTTGGAATGCGAATGGTGTTAGAAATCATACAGACGAACTATCTACTTTACTACTTGACAAGAACATTGATGTGGCACTAATTACTGAAACTCGACTAACCACTAAACAGCACTTCAATATACCACAATACCTGACATATCGTACTGACCACCCTGACGGAAAAGCACATGCCGGTACTGCTGTAATTGTACACCAATCCCTCTCCCATCACGTACTCCCATTACCAATACGTGATTTCCTACAGTCCACCGCTATCGTGATAAAAACCTTCTCCTTTCCGGTCACTCTTGCATCAGCGTATTGCCCTCCTAACCGATCCATATCCAATGCCCAATTCAGTTCTCTCCTCGACTCCTTAGGACATCACTTCATCTTGGGTGCAGACCTAAATGCCAAGCACCAACAATGGGGTTCCAGAACCACGAATTCTCGTGGCCGAACCCTGCTGTCTGCACCCAATTCCCAACGTTTTCACCTCCTTTCCCCCAACTCTCCTACCTACTGGCCCACAGATCCCAACCGTAATCCTGATCTTCTTGATTTCTTTATCCACAGCGGCTTAAGTCCCCTCAATTGTTCCATTACACGTCTAAATGAACTTTCCTCTGACCATAGTCCTCTAATCCTTAATGTTTCACTTGAACCTGTTCCCAAACCTTCTCCACCGTCATTCATTAGGGGCCCAGTAAACTGGGACCTTTTCCGCCAAATAATCTCCGATAATATTGATCTCAACATATCCCTCAAAACTCCCGATGACCTTGATAGTGCCGTAAATTCCTTTACTACCACAATCCAACAAACCGCCTGGACTGCCTCCTTTCCAAAAGACTCCTCCAGAATTCCTATAAAGACCATTCTACCCCAACACCTCCTTAACCTAATCCGCACCAAACGCCGTGCCAGATTATTATGGCAACGAACCCGACATCCTACCGACCGCTGCTCCTATAATTACTACTGCAAACAATTAAAACTGGAATTAGCCACCTTCAGATCACAATCCTTCAACTCCTACCTATCCTCCCTCTCTTCTCGCGACAATTCCCTTTGGAAAACCACAACAAAAATCCTAAATCCTCACCGCATTTCCCATCCTCTCCGACGAGGTGATGGCTCCTGGGCAGCATCTGACGAAGATAAAGCTGAGGAGTTCGCCATTCACCTATCCAATACATTTATTTCACATCCGGAATCCCATCCTGCCCACACCGTAACAGTAGAAGAACTCCTTACATCACCAATCCCACTTTCCTTGCCCCCAAAAGCTATTCATCCTTCCGAAGTAAAATTTCAATTAAAAAAACTAATCCTCCGTAAAGCTCCTGGACATGATCTCCTTACACCTCAAATACTTCGACAACTTCCATCCAAAGCAGTCATATTCCTTACATATATCTACAATTGTATCCTACGCACCACCCACTTCCCTCTGTTATGGAAACACTCCACTATTATCCTTTTCCCAAAACCAGGAAAACCTCTCAATAGCTCAACATCCTATAGACCAATCAGCCTACTCCCAATCCTTTCAAAAATTTTTGAAAAGATCCTTTTGAAACGAATCCTACCCATTATAGAATCCCAAAATATCCCTTCCCATCAGTTTGGTTTTCGCTCTCAACATTCTACTGTTCAACAAGGACTCCGAGTTGTTGATCATATTTCCTCAGCCCTAGAAAACAAGGAATACTGTTCGGGTGCCTTTCTGGACATTGCACAGGCATTTGACCGGGTATGGCACTCCGGACTGCTCTCCAAGCTTAAAATCCATTTACCTCAGTCCTTGTACCTAGTCCTCCGATCCTACCTCTCTGACCGCTCCTTTCGAGTTCGCTGTGGAACAGAATTTTCCAATATCTACTCCGTTAAAGCCGGTGTTCCCCAAGGCAGCGTCTTGGGTCCCGTGCTTTACATCCTCTTTACTGCTGACATCCCTGTTCATCCCGATACTTTTCTTGCAACATTCGCTGACGACACCGCAATCTTATCATCCAACTCTGATCCCGAAATAGCATCCTTAAATCTCCAAAGTCATCTCACCTTGATTGAGCACTGGTGTAATAACTGGCGCATTAAAGTTAATGAATCTAAATGCCAACATATTACTTTTACACTCCGACGCAATTCCTGTCCACCAGTACTCTTTAATTCCATCCAGCTTCCTTATTCAGACACAGTCCGGTATCTTGGCTTTCATTTAGACCGAAGACTAACTTGGAACCCGCATACTAGACTCAAAAGACAAGAACTCAACCGACGATACGGCCAACTATACCGACTACTAAGCAGAAAATCTAAACTTTCCATTGAAAACAAGCTACTGATCTACAAGACAATACTGAAACCTATTTGGACTTACGGACTAGAACTGTGGGGATCAGCAAAATTTTCTAACATCAAGCGCATCCAATCCTTCCAGTCTAAAGTCCTTCGAACAATAGTCGATGCTCCTTTCTATGTATCCAACAAAACCCTACATCATGACCTTAACATCCCATTTGTCCTAGACCTTATCCCAGAAAAGTTCTCCAAATTTCACCAGAACCTTACTTACCACCCAAATCCTCTTGCACAATCCCTATCAAGCATCTCCCATCCCTATAATCCTCCAAGAAGGTTGAAACGGCAGTGGCCTCGCGACCTTTTGTAAATTATATAAATTGGAGTTCTGGCAATGGCCAGATTCTTCACTCAAGACATGTGTGTATGTGGCTAAAGTGCTCTCGACCAATCTCCGCTGGCTTTAGTACCAGTGACGCGGTTGGAAGAGTAGCGCAGGGTTCTCCTGGAGTTCCCTCGCCTGATTGTATATAGGTATGCATGTTATTTTTTTTTTTCCTTAGTTTTAATTTTCTTATTTTTTAGGTTATTTTATTTTATTGTCTATTGTATATACTTTTGATTATTATTTTGTTCTATTTATTTTATTTTTTTGTACATATGGTGTGAATGTCATCATACCTCACTATAACCAATGTCGAACAGACAGATTGTTATAAAAAAAAAAAAAAAAAAAAAAAAAAAAAATACTTAATTAGCTGTAAAAGATTGGAAATAGATGCAATGCCATAGCAATGATAAGAAATAGAAAGGAACAAACCATACATGTCTCGAAGGGTCGGATAAAGGAAGCGACACAAGACTAAGATGAATTCAACATGAAGGATCAGATGTAGTATCGATGTTGTCTCCAAATATCGACCCAACAACCACCTGCCAGCAGTCACCTGTTGATTGGACCGGGTACGTATCTGCTGTACCAAATCGCCAACGAGTACTGCCATATAAGATAAGTTCCAGCACTTTTTTAAGAACTAAATATTTATTATAATATGCATACAAGTAGCTTGCATAACATAAATTTTCAATTATAGAAAATTACCCTTTTGCATTTAACTTACAGATTTATCATAAAAATAGTACGACAATCTATGATAGAAAGAAAAAAACGACATCCAGGTGAATGGATATAGGTTCGAATAGGAATGTGGATTGCTAAGAATCCTTATGACAATTAAGAATTGTAAACGTATGATGTATATATATGTATGTTGATGGTTTTTCTCCCTCTCTCTCTCTCTCTCTCTCTCTCTATATATATATATATAGAATAGAAGAATAAACTTTATTATGGGACAAAGTCCCTTGAGAATAACAATATTGTACATAAAAATTAACATAATATCTGGCCAAAATGCATATTACAATAAAAAAAAACACAAAAAAACTAAAAAATAAGCAATAACAGAAGGATTTACATAACTATCCTGATATATTAAAGATATAATATGAGCAATAAGGTCCTAATACTGCAAAATAGTTACTAAAAACAATAAACTATGGAATTTTAAGTGAAATTTGAAATGAACGACAAATTACTTTTGTTGTCATACCATTGTATTAATGAAAAAAATAATAATAAAAGAGTGGTAAATATTTACTAAAAATGATTTACATATGTACTTTAATATGTTAAAAGAATACAATAATAGTATTGTAAACATTATACAAGTCCTATATAATCTAAATCCTAAGATGTAGATTGATCGGTGGAAATAAAAGAAAATATTCATATAGACGAGATTATATACATATATAATATACATGATAAATGGTTACCCAGCGTCTGATTGAATTGTAAGGAGGAATTGGAATAAGAGGGTTTTAAATATGGATAAGGATGGTGCATGGCGGATTTTGAGTGGGATAGAATTCCAAAACGTGGTGGAGCGGACAATAAAGGATTGTTGAAATGAGACTGATTTGTGGAAAGGGGTATAAAGGTCAGAAGGACGAGATCTTGTGGAGAGGGAGTGGATAGATGAATTGAATTGAAGGAGATTGAATGCGTAGGACGGACGATGATTATACATTACTTGGTGGAATGCACCTAGGAAATATTATCTTCTGAAGGAGGGAAAGAGCCACCCTTCTTCTGTCCATTGCCTTCCTTCCTTTCTCCTCCAGGGATCTCCATATTATTCGCTGCTCCTCTTAATTTATCCCTACAGCGGCAAAGAGTTCTAAACTGTATAAAACAGACTTTAAACAAGAATAACTAAATAGAACAGACACCTATACCGTTGAATTATTTATGATTACCATTTCCAGTCATCTGAAGATCACCGATTTCATATTGGAGTAAGTGACCTAAATTATAACTGTTGGTTCTCAGTGGACGCCAAATTTGATGGTATACAACATTTATTCTATGACTTTTTTCGCTCAGGAAACTCAAGGTCGTTTATAGTAATTTTTCTCAGCTTTTAACAAACTTCGTAGAATTCACTAACAGTGGTTATTGACCGTAGTAGTTAACCAAAATATTAAGGTATTGATATATATTAATTTAAGTATTCGTTAGTCGCATAATTTAACGTTCTTTAATTTCTTAAAATTTTTCGCTTCGAAGGATCATTCAAGACTTATAAATAAATAAAACAAAAAAAGGTTGAATATATTTGGCTTTTTTGGTTGTAAAAAGTTTTTCTTGGTGGTCGGCGTTAACGATTTTGTATTTGACATGTATATACAACTTAAAAAAAAAAAAAAGTTTCCCAAATTTTTCGCAATAATAAATTTCCGTTTTGATCCTCAAGTTACTGGCCTAATATTATTTAAACCAGCCGCCATTTTTCAAGTAGCATGATCCGCCTGGAAAACTCTAGTTTTTAAATATGTTGTGAATGTAAAAAAAAAAGTTGGTTAGAAATAATTTAAAAGAAAATATTCATTTCTGTTTAAGATTAATCTGACTGATAGATTAAACTTCAATACGACGAAAACCAGTTTGGTTAAATAAATAGTAACCTTCAGACGGCTTTAATAATGGAAGGTAATATATTATTACTACCCCAAAACTAAGGGGGGATTCCCTTCCCATGAGATTTATGAGACTAGAAGTAACATTTATTGGTGATTAAACTGACCCCTATTAAGCCTTAACAGCTATATAAGAGTCCGGATAACTATACGGTATTGTTATAAGGGTAATATAGGAGATGATGATATAAATTATTAAAACTTGAGTTCATTCACAACAGACTAAAAATACCCCATCGCTGAAAATAATAACATAGAATAAATATTACGTTTTTTGCAAAATCGTAAAGCAGCTACTATCTAAAGGATACAGATAAAGTTTAAGATTATCCGGGTCTAAACTATTCCGACAAAGAAATTGAGCAACGATTTTGAAATAGTTTACAGTTTGAACGATACTAATAGTGTCATCTTTCAATCGGTTAAATTCAAATATGAAAAATAATTGGAACCAAATCGATGAAATGTGGCAGATTGCTAAGCGTGATACAGTTTCCTGATACCCGTGAATTTCGTGAAGGCAGTAGATGGAAGGGGGAAGGTAATCCAATACAGGATAGGTTACACCCCAAACCGAAAAGGTTTGTTTACAAGACACCAGCAAACAGAGGAGAGGAGGTATTGAACAAGGCAGCAGATCTCCGAGCGAGATAGGACTGTTTGCGGTGGGGTCGCCTGGCGACGCCAGCAGGTGGCGTGCCGCCCGGTGTCGATTGTACAACCACCCTACTATACTATCGATATATTGTGTCGGGCTGATTTATAACAATCGGAGATAGTATCGAAACCTATTGGTGTATCCTTAGTAGCCATTTTCAGCTGCTTATTGGAGGAATTATAGATTAACAGTAAAATAAAGGATCAAAAAAAACAAAAATTTTAGCCGGATTTTTATCATATATAAACAATGATTGAATGAAATAAATTAAAATTCATTAATTGACTTCTCGCATTAGTACATTTAATCATGACATTATCAAAGATATCTATAAAATTAATTTGAAAAGGAATTAGTCGAGTGGGAGGGGAGTACGGTCAATATATATTGCAGATCTTTATCAGGGTTAAAAAAGATATACACTTAATTGGAACAACTTAAAAAAAAATTAACTACTGGTAGATATTAAACTAATGCAGGTTACCAGATAATGAAATTTATACCAGAGTTAAAAGTCACACCCTATCTCCCCCCCTCCCCGCGAGCACCGGGACACGAACTCGTAATTATTTTACTATCTCTAACTTCGGTTAGCGATCTGGGATCAGAATACTAACACATGGAAAAGAAAGACCAATAAAGAACTGCTTACAGAAACTGGTCAATCAATACTCAATGATATGTAGGCACGTAGGTTAAGATGAGCGGGACATGTAGCTAGTAGCAATCTATCTGGAATCCTCTACGTAATAAAAGGCAAAAGACCACGGGGAAGGCCATACAACAGATGGATAGATAGAATCGACAAAGACGCAACAGAGCTGCGTGCAGATAAATGGAAATAGCCGAAGACAGGCAGAGATGGAGCAGGCTTGTTAAGGCGGCAAAAGATCTACATGCTCTGTAATGTCAACAGAAAAAAAAAAACGATACACCTACACATATAAAATAAGAATAAAATATTAGTTGAAATTAAACTAGTACTTTTATTATCCATTTCTTTATCTAGGTTAATAGGTTAACTAGGTTAATATTTACTGATATTTTATTTATTTTTTACCTTGTAGCAATTAATATTTATAGTTTCTATCCTTTCTATCCATGATGAAGACCTACAACGTAGGTTGAAATCTCGCAAATCCAATAAAATAATGTAATATATTGTATTATGCATGGAGTGCATCCTCCGACCAAATCCTCGCATTATAATCACGGTCACTCATCTCCACACTTTTATAAAAATGAATCAATGTAAATTGATTAGAATTATATGTTTTATATTCCGCAACTGTTTAGAGAAAATAGAGAGAAGTGAGAGAGAAAATAACAAAGAAGGGGGATAAACTAACATATTTTACGACTAGGAATGCGCTCCGAGAGGTAAGGACGACCAAGTTCACCCAAAGACAGCCCCAACTTCAATTATATCTTGACCGTCCTAGCTTAGCAAGGTGATCAAACGTAACAAATCAAGGGAAGATTAACAAATTTCTATATACTAGATAGACTATTACATAATGAGACTAATGAGGTAAACATTTAATTTGTATTTACTTATACACCCCTCTTCTATCCCTCAATACCTTCCAATATCTAAAAGAGTGATGAGAGTCTTCTGTCAGCTCTTTCAGGACTCTTGACACTTTTTCTTTAAGCTAGAATATGGTTGTTGATTAATAATGTGACCTTCAGAAACCCAGAGAAGGTGTAAAATCCCACGAATATCGATAATAATTATCATCATTGTTTTGAATTTTAATTGACTTATTCGAGCTATTTCGGGTCTTGGTAATGTTGTACCCTTCCAGTGCAACAATCTATATTAAAAGGAACAAGATTTGAATCTTTGAAAGAAAAAGCGATTACTTGAATTACTTTGCGATTCGGATTCAATTTTTATTTATTTTGCAGTGCCAAATTAAGTAAGTTTTCAGGCAAAAAAAATCAATATTCCTCGACAGAGACATGAAATAATATTCTGCTCAAGGATTGCAGATTCACTTCAGGAAAAATAAAGAGAATAAATAACCATAATAAATATATGATGCTTTGAATACCATCGTAAGAGGTTGAAGGAAAATATGCTCAACATTACCAGGAAAAGTAATAAGATATAAAATTGAAGTGGTTTCCCTGAAAAGATAATATATTATTCATAAATAAAAGAAGACGACGTCATCACATCTTTTATATTCAAACAAAATTGGAATATAGAATGAAGGCACTGGAACCTGTTTGACAGAAGGGAACCAATCAGTACAGCACATATTTTGAGTAAACCAACGTTTTGTTTCTTTAATAGAA